ACAGCTTTGAGCACATTACAGGTGACAGTGCGATTTATCTCAATTTCTTTCCCAATTTTGATGAAGAGCAGCCAATTTTGATGAGTGGCATGCCATTAATCACCCCCGAAACCAAAGAACCATGCACTAACGTGAAGGGTACGGATCTCCCACCCCTCTTTCCCTAGTACAACCTCTCAAGAGGACTTTCGGTTCGCCCCATATTTAGAGTACCCCATGTCGCACTGACACTATACAGACATACATGCCTTTTCCGGGATTCGAATCAGAGCCCTTCGGCACGTAGTCGGCGATGCTAACCACTACACTGGTTGGGCGACAACCACTAAATAGTGAGTTAAATAATTAAACCCTATGTCGTAAAGTGTTTTACTAATTAATTTTCGCCGTTCAACACATTAATCACTCGGCGAAGAAAATTTCGTTAAGTTAAATCAAATCTGCATTTTCAAAAATCTAGAAACTGTTACACAAAAAAAGTTTTAATGCGGTCATTAATTTTTCCTCATAAGTAATTACGTAGCAAAATATTTCAAATATATGAGCTTAGCTAATACATAATGAATATGAAAGCTAATATCATCAGTTATACTTAAGTCTCCTTTAAGCACAAATGACAAGATAGAATGCGGTATATGTCACAACCTCTAAAGGCAATCAAAATAAAATGCTACGTACTTCCAAAATGATTTAAACATGACTTTCAGCGTACTAGAAAAATAACGCTTTTAACTATAATAAATAACGAAAAAATAATATCCCATTAATTGCTGTTGCATTCTAAGGTTTAATTAATGACCTTCTGTTTGGGTGATTTTATTTATGAGGGGAAGTATTTCATAGCTATCAACTGGAAGTTTACAGTATTCCATCCTTTCTCAGCTTGATGTATGTATGTTACATATACGCACATACACGAAAAAAAAAAGAACTGAAACATTTCAAATTTTATAATCCAACCAAAGGGTCATTTGTTTCATTCACACGCACGTACACATTTGGAGAGCAATTGGCTACAGTCAATTTGGACTAAAAGTATTTAATAACAGCATATTTTTAGAATTTCTGATAGACAGCATCGCGTGCTGAAGATAAAAATGTTTTATTCTATGCAATATTTTATTCAATGCTCGCTTTGAAGTCGTTACGTTTTCTAATCAAAAATCCTTTACAAAATATGGGATACATAATAAAACAAATTCGAAATTAAAAATTCAGGCTATCAGATGCCCATATTCGATTGGATGACTATATTATTCAAAATTTACTATCTCTAGGTACCGTTGGTTTTTCACAACGCGACAAACACACATATATTCATGCGCATCTTCATTATTTAATTTCTTTAAATATAATACAGGGCGATAATATTTGGTGAGAACAATTCGAAAAGTGATTCAGCGCTTTAGGTGATTCGACGGTAAAAGCCGCTTCGAGATTAATAACCCTTCTGAGCTAAAACTGAACTGAAAAGTGTTTAACTAAACAAATGTGAACAGTATATTTATTATTTACTTTAAAACTGATTTTGAAGTAAACATATTTAATCTCTAATTTAAGGAATAATTCACGAAAGCCGTGTGTTTTCTAAAAGAGTTTAAATTAAATGTTTCTAGCTTTCCTTATTTTCTCCTTATTTCCATGAATTATTTAAAAGAACTAGAGATTTAAATGATTGTTTGAAGGAATTGAACGTTAAATAATGCTAAAAAAATTCCGTTGCTACTTCAGACTAAGCGCCACTATTTTTAAAAATGTAAGTTTTCTAAGCGCCACTATTTTTAAAAAGGTAAGTTTTAAATTTTGAAATTTGATAAATATTGTTGGTTTAATATATGCAAACTCAATCTGAGAAAGAGGCTTTTCTTACATTCGAATCGCTCCGAATGAACATTATAGTCAATTGTAATTTTAAAATGTGACTTGAATTGTAATCTAATTCTGCTGAGACAGCAATTTCCAGCTGTTGTAGTACGGTGCAATGGTAAATTTATTCAACGTCTAGAAGAGCGTTCTACTGTCTAGAAGAGTTTTCTAGAGTCTAGAAGAGTCCAGGTTGAAAACCTATTAGAGAAAACTGTTTAATTTGATTCACTATCTGAGTTATCTTTCAGTGCCATTTGTAAATTTGCTAAATGGAGAGATTTTTCATAAAAACTGGTATTTTTATTGTTGGGAAGACAACTACACAATCTCGATGTTTGAAAAAGAATGTTGCTACATTGCTAAGATAGAAGAACAAGAATGACAAGACTGGATCTAATTATCTTTATAATTCTATAAGCTAAGTTTAGATGATAAAGATTAATACAAAAAAGAAACACTGCATAAATTTTTATCATCTGAGGCGTTTTTGAATCAATTGACTGTAAACCATCAGTAAAATAAACATCTGAAGCGAACACCTAGAGCAGCATCAGTAAATTACACATCTAGACGATTGGTTCTTAGACCTATTTTATTCACCACCCACATTCAAGGAAGATAATGCTCTATGGCACTCTTCCTTTAAAACCAACATGCATAATTTTTTACAAAATAATATAAGAAAATAAAGCTGCAATGATTAGTTTGAGTTCTTGGTACACACATGAAATTAACAGTACCGAACAGAACACCAGAGATGAACTCTTGCCCTGGAAATCCTTTCAGGAACTGATGTCCAGACTCTGGAGACCATCCAAGTGAAAAAATTATTTTTAAGGGGTGTTCCATCCGCTCTGTCCTCTCTCAGTAGAGGAGCGAATAGGGCCAAACCTCCAAGGATATACTCAATAACTTACAACTCTAGAGCCAAGGGGCTAACAAGACAGTACCATATGGTCCCTGCCGAGCCAGAACGCTCTCTCGAATGAACGGAGGTTCTAATCTTGTGGAGATTGATTTTATGTGGTCTAAATTCCATAGTGCATAAATCTAAGCAACATCTTCTTCCATTAGAAAACGCATTCATATTTTATTCTAATATTTACTGTCACAAAATATTTACATACTTGCAAATGGAAGAAGTGGAGTAGCATCTCATCAACCACATTTAACATTCTCAGTCATCTATAGTTCGTAATTCTCAGTCCATTAGTTCAGTTCGTAATGGATGTGCCATCGGATGCCAATTACATCTCTTGTGGCCTCTAACCACGAACACTAGATTCGTGGGCTTAGATGATAATTGTGAACGATTTGTTGCAGAAATATAGGCTGAGGTAAAGACTCGAATACTGCCATATAAACACTATTCCGCACACCAATTGCTATATGGCACTACTCCAAAACCACCACCAACCATATTTGTCATTTCAAGCTCGGTTCTCAGTCCACAACAGTTCGTAAATCTTGATACATTTTTTCAATTCGCAGTTCAAAATGGCTGCAGATTCAGGGTCAACTAGGCACTATGTTTCCGCAGGCAAGAGAAATGGATTCTTGCATCGAAGCTCAGATGTCAACAGCAATTGATATGTTGCTGGAAAGGTAGTCTTAGAGAAGACTCGAATACAGCCCTATAAACACAATTTTTAACTTCCACACATATATATATTACTCCTCCAAAACCACTTTTAGCTTCAATCATCCCTTTAGACAACTCAAGTGTCCACTAGATTGGATACCATCAACCTTCGAGAATGATCCCCCTATAGTGGGCACTGTGAGTGGTATCACCCTTGAGGATACCACCCACATTTTAGAATCATTGAACACGCGTATCAAAAGCAAATGTGTGAATATCAGGTAGAGTTTTGTTTGATTATATTGTTCAGTTAATATTATTCTGAATTAACCATTAATTCAAACTTCAGACTAATATAACTTCACCTTTTCTTTTCCTCCCCAGAAATGTAAACTGTTTTAACGTAAACGGAGGAGTATTTAAGATGAAATTTTGGGATTGTAAGATACAGCGTGTCCCCCTTCAGGCTACGTTACTTAGTTTGGCCAGGTCTTTTAAATTTGCAATTATTCGTCTTTGCGTTGTTTGCTGCCAACATATAAATTAATACGCCTGTTAGAGTTTTCTGAGCTAACTTCGATTTAAATATAATCGTATAGTCCTTTGACTATTAGTCCACGTTTTAAATTTGAACTGATTGTTATTTTAGATTCATTGCCACAAGTAGCGTTTGATTTTGTTAAGCACAGGAAGTGTATTTATGTTCTATGATGTGTTAAATAAAAAGGTTTGTTTTCAACCTTTTCAAGTTTCTGTAGATGCATCAGACACAACGATAATTCTCTGTACATCTGTTAAGAGTTTGAATCTAGGTTATGCTTCCAAAGCACGTCAAATTCCACAGCATTTATTATGGAATGTAATTATAACAAAATTAGCCAACAAAATTTTGTTACCAGTCTACACATCTGCCTTGGTAGAGATCATAAGTACACAATGAAAATAGTTTAGGCTGTATTTGACGCAAAACTGTTACAACAAAATGAAGAAAGATTGCTATGATAAGATTTTCTTATTTTATTCGTCCCTTTAAATGATCCCTTAAAACGTTGGAAACATCTAGTCACTTTAAAGCGTTGTGATTGCAGTATAAATATTTCAGATAATTCGTGTTTGGTTAAAAACTGTAGCTATGCCAAATTACGCTCACCATATGTAACGCCATTTCAGATACTCCTCTGGGGGAACTATCTGTAATGAAGTTTCAGCTGCTAATCAAGGATATTTTAAGAAGATCAATAGTATGCCCAATTAAGCATATAGTTATTCATAGCTGAATTCATTTGATATCAGCTTATGATAATAAATCTCTCAGAAAACTGTTGAGCGGAAGCCGCATATTAAATCTCCATCAGATCATATGTCAACCGCAAATATGCCGTTGCGAAAGATTAATCATCAGAGGCATTTGAAACCATAATTCATCCATTTAATATTCCACAAGCGATTCATTTCATGTTTATTCAGTTAAATCAATGTTATGTTTCAATGCATTTGTTATGCTAATATAATTTATGGACTTCTCTTTCTAAATGTGCTTATATTTTTGCAGGTAAATGGATCCCAGTAATGGAATTTCGAATGGAACATGAACAAAAATGATGATGTGTATTTTGAGAAAACTAATACAGCATACTGCAAGAAATTTGAAGCCTCTGCTTTGTTTATAAATTTGGTAAAATGCGCACGAAAGTTTCATGCCATGACATGTATTGAATGTATCATAAGATTTGAGGAGGAAATCACATTTAACATTTCTCTAGAATTCTTATATTGAATCTTTTGTCTTACTGTAACTGTCAACATGTGAAAGTAAAGAAGAAATCACGAATAATGATATATTGCTCAGGAATTATAGTTCTAATTAAAACTGCAAGTATGTCATATTTGTTAGTGTCTTTTAGCTCCGGAAACTGCTATAATACTCAGAAATGTAAATCACGTGATCAAAATAATATTTTATTGCCATTTTCAGAACATCAATAACTGAAGCAAACAAAATTCATGCAATGGAGAGACGTTTGATGCTCCAGAAACGTGTATGAAATTATCAACAATTACTTAACGGTCAAGATGCTATGAAACAGTTATTCCCTAAATATATTTCTTAAATTAATGGATATTCCCTTATTCCTTTCTTTCTCAGGGGAAATGTAAAGTACAGTAAATTTTGTGAAGTTGTTTAGTGTTCGAAAAGTTATCAACAAAATGAGACTAATTAATTACGATTTTTTATAGTTCAATACTATTCAAAAAATAAATATTTCAGGATGCTATATGATGAGAATTTCTATCTCAGAGTTTCAGAAAATTTTAGAACATTTAACATCGTCTTGATCTAAGTATTTTCTAGCCAAATATTAGAATTTGAAATAACCATGGCAGTGAACATTATTGATAATTCTCTACTACTTGACTCTTTCAATTCATCCAATATCCATCTCGACCAGACTCTTCAATTTTCGGAAGATTTCAACTTGAGCATTATATCCACCAACATTTCCAACATCACTGATTACCATGCATCTTATTCACCAACAGAGAAAGTTTTCTGGGCTTTGCTACTTATCCCGCTGCCTCTTGTCGCTGTGGTTGGTAATATTCTTGTGATATTAAGTGTTTATCGAGAGAAAAGTTTGCAGACGGTTACCAATTATTTCATCGTCAGCCTTGCATTTGCTGATCTACTTGTGGCTGCCGTCGTTATGCCGTTCGCCGTCTACGTCCTGGTGAGTGTCACCGATTGTTATTTTTCTTTTCCGCATGCGTACTTGAATATTCTGTATGATATACCATGTGCTGATTTGCTTTCAACATTCTTAGTTATCTGAATAAATATTTTATAAGCGTAAATGATAGCAGTGTAAAATTTACTGCTAACAGTGTGATATACAAAGGTGGGCATAAAACGTATCCCCGATGTATAAATCTCTAGCTGTTTATCCTCTTAATAAATCGAAAGGGATTTTAAGATATTTTTATTTAAAGGTAAGCGTTTGAGATTGTGATAATTTAAAATAATAGAGCTCCCACGGTTACAAACATTTCGAACGGTACAAAAACATTTTGAATGGCAACTTTAACCTTTTTCCTGCACAGATTGATCATTACGTTGAAAAACTATAAAAGGCGTTGCAGCGATACATGTATGCCGAAAATTGTTGGTATAAAACAATAACAAAGAAGAGCATTCAAAAAGGACCTATAGCAGTACAAGAGAGGAGAGGTTAAAAAAGCTTTCTATTTGGAATAACAGATATTCAACGTGTACAACGTTTCAAACTAGTGTCATCTCCCGTAATATTACATTTTCTTAGCCACCGCAATGCCTCGATCTCACTCTGATGGGTTTCTGGTCGTAGGTTTATCTGAAATCTAAGATATACACATCAAATCTACGAGATTTGTTAGAAATGAATTGCCATAATCTGTGAAGTTATACAGATTCTTCTTACGATGTTACATTCGTCATTGTTGTCAATAATATTCCACATACAATGCGTTATCGTCTGCGAAGGTTGGCATGGTAAAAACTTGTAATTCAAGTAAAGAATTATTTCTCTCTGCTCTCTTGTGTTGTCAATGATCCTTTTTTCAATGTTCTTCTTTACAAATGATTTATTCCGGCAATTTTCGTCATAAGTACATCATTCCAACTCCGTTTATGGTATTTCAAGACTCTGATAACAGGTATTACTCTGATGACAGGAAGTTGGTATTACCATTCGAAAACTTGGAAAAGTTTTTCATTTTAGCCCTAACCGCGAGAGCTGTATTGCTTTAAATCATCAGATCTAGAGCGTATACCTTCAAATACATATATCTGAAATTTCATTTCTATTGGTTGTGAGGATAGGCCGCTAAGGGTTGGCCATATATCATAAATCATTTCCATTGGTTGTGAGGATAGGCCATATATTATAAGTTTCTTTTTCAATCACCACCCAGTATGTAACTAAAATGTACTTCCGAAAATCATAAAAAAATTAAATATCATCCTTTCTCATTTTCTTGGTAAAATTGTATGAGGTAAGAAGTATGACCAAAACTCATCTGTTATTCATTGATATTTATCTTTAGTTACTGCTATTTTCATCTTCTGTTTCCTTATTTGTAATAATATCATATAAAAGTCTACAGCGTATTTTCATTAGCATCAAATATCCTGATTGCATATTTTTGCAACAGTTGGAAACCTAAGGGGATAAGTCAGGCACCACTAATTTGCGAGTGGTTTTATACATATATTCATTCTTGAAACGATTTCTTATAATTTTTAATATGTAAAATGCAACTGAAATTCATATTGTGTTGGAAAAGAAAAGGCTATAAAATCTTAACATTGTCTCAGATAATTAAATTTAATTACAATGTCATAAAATAAATATAATTTACACTGAATTAAGAGTCAAATGAAATTATGTGTAAATTATATACTAATTTAATTCTTTATAATAGCATTTATTGCAAAGAATCCAATTTTTTTTAATTAGGTGCGAAAACGTTCTTTAGTGTCTAAAAGTCCCCAATGGTGAAATTTTGATGCTTAGAAGATTAGTACACTTAGAATAAAATAACTCATTCTGAATAAAAATTATTTTGTGAAATTAAGTTTTTACGGATGTCTGGAAAAGTATTATATCTGCTTACTACATGATTCAGAGTTTAAATGCTTAAAAGCAGGAGGATATTAAATTCATAGAACATATATACATGAAAACATTAATAACTACCTAGAACTATATGTTAGTCCTTCTGCAAATTTATTGTTATTCGAACATATGTTCATTTATATTTAGCGTTCGTTCTACAATGAATAAATTCAAAATTTCAATATTTGCAAGCTTTTTTCCTCTTTTCTAATTTGTACATGCATTAGTTCTTTCCTAATTCCCCTTTGTGCTTTGGGAATAAAATAAATATTTCTTGAATCTTTTGTTATTTTTTATACCAAGATTTATCTATAAAGTAAGAACTAACTGGAGTATAAGGAAATATACTTTTTAATACCTCGGTTGGATGCTTAAATTGCATTTGCTAGAAGGGTAGAAAATTCTTCGAATTTTCAATATCTGATTCTTTTACAGGAAATATTATAGCAAAATTTATGACTTGGCATTCATTTTCGACTAAAAACCTTATCGAAATATAGTCTACTGCTTCAGAATAGGAGCTTCATGTTCTTTTACTTCCTTTCAGCTTGCCTCGTAACCATGGTAATGACAGCTGCGGCTGATAGTCCAATCGAATCCCTTAATTTTGTTTTAATATTATTTCTGCTTAACGCGGGAGGACGCACAAATGAAGCCCACAACCTCAAATGAGGTGGGGAAGCTAAGTGCCGTGCGGTGACTATGATGCTCTTTACGATCAGAAATTTAAGAGGGTCGGAAAGGCATTAGCGTTAGAGTAGCTGTTTTAGAGTAATAGACTGTATATGTTTTATGTTTTTAGATATCAGGTATATATATTTTGAAAAATGATATGTTTCTGCCCATAGATATAGAAAATGATATATTTCGGCACTTTGAAATTTTGCAAAACTTAATTAGCACATGAAAATCAGCTTCTTCTGTGCACATTTTTAATAGCAATTACAACAGGCTTCTGATTAACCCAAGTAATACCGAGGACCACGTCAACGGTAAATGAAAATTAAGGGCAATTCGACAAAATTTAGGAAAAGAAAGAAAAGAGAAGTAGAAATAACCCATATTATAATTAACAGCAAAATATTGTTAACAACTCATCTCTATTCTTAAGCAGTTTAACTTGGAGGGAAAAAAAATCAATTTGATAATCTGAAATAAACCAGGATTTAAAACAAGATCAAGCTTTCAAGCATAAAGCAAAAACGGGAAGAACGATGTTTTTGATTATATTGTTCAATAGGAGTTAATGGGAGACAGACGATTAAGAGCTTTTTGAGATTTAACAATTTATTTTTAAAGGATGATTTAAGAATATTCATAATTCCAGCTTATGTACAGTTAAATTGAGTAGTGTTTGGACTAAAGACGATTCCCAGATACTGGAACATATTCTGCTATCAGTGGTTTTACTTCACTCATTTTCTTCTTTTTGTATATTTCATAGAAAACGAATTTTTCCGTCGTTCCGAAATAAGCAACTTTTCATAACTTGGAATTTCTTCTTATTAGAGAAACTTCCTCTTTTGATAGATTAATGTGTATGATAATGTTTTAATTTTTAAATTGCCTTAATTTTTGGTGTATTTTTCCCTTAGTAAAGAGTTTTGTATATTATTTTATACCGTTTTTATCGTTCTCATTTATTTAACAATAGAAAGTAAAACAGAAGCATTCTGTTCAATATTAATCAAAATATAGTTTTTAAATACTGAGAGTAATACTACATATACTTGATCCCTACCGAGAAATGAAACAAATTAGCCATTTTATTTGTAACCTAGTAGCATATTCCATAGATATAATCATTTGTTATTGCTCATTTCTTTGCAGCATTGATAGTAATTGCTTTATATTATTGTTACAATATATGGAGATGTTGTACCCAAAAATAAGCAAGATGTTTTCAAGAGACTGTCTGGAATATAAGGAAGCAAAACTATAAAATTTAAAATATACGTTTTATAGAAAGCTAAAATAGAAACGTGGAATACAAAGAATAGTATACATAATAATAAAATCTATAATTTGATATATTCTTAGTCATCTTGTTCTAGAGAAAAATTGCTGGCAATTTATATTCATTTTTTTTCCTAATTATTTCTCTTATGTAAATAGTTTAAAGTACCTAGATTAAATGAAATAACAATTATGTGAGCTATTTGCAGATGTATATAATATTGCAGCAAAATGAACATATTTTTTTAACTCCTGTCTCTACTTGACATATGCACATTTTCTCTTATTTTTTCCCAAGAACTCCCATTCTTGTTTCAATTTTTGTGTTGCTTCATGTGAGAAACACTTCATTCATGCTGATGTATTTAATTTATATAGTAAAATTCTGATTTCATTATATAAATTAAATACCATTTCTACCTCCCTCATAAAGTATTATATCTGTGTACTCATAAAGTATTATATCTGTCAACTTATTTAATTAAATATATGTAATTTTAATGAAACTGTTGATAGAGAAATTGCCATTGCCGTAATGTAAAATTTCCAAAAAAGAAAGAACAGCTTTCTTTTGCATGAAATGCTTACTGTAAATAAAAACATTATAAGCTACCTTAGACGAAGTACATAAATTGCAATATGAATTCTAACAATGTTATACTTTCATTTTATTATGATTGGTTAGTTAAGGTTTCCTTTTGCAAAATTTAACATCACTATTAAAATTGAAGACTTTTCGACTTCCGAATGTACGGGAGCCATGAGTGTTATATAAGAATCATATGGAACATTTATTAAAGCATTGTGAAATCGACTTGTTTACTGGCTTAATTAATTATGGCGAAGTACTCGAGGCTAATTGCCTAAGGGAAGGAATGCCTTCGTGAAGAACTTTCTAAGGAAAACTTGCTCGTATAACACGTTACACGTTACACATGAATAAAACCATAGATTCAGCGATTTTATCACTTCGCCACTGGTGTGCCCTCAATGTGAAATAGGATAAATTTCCCGAGTTTAACAGCTTTTGCAAACATAATGTCGCAGAATACGTATAAAAGAAGGAAAGCTGAAATCATGTGACGATCATTTGTCACATCATTTTGTGGTTTGTGTGTGTG